TTCCTTCGTTCTCCGGCTCCTGGCCCTGAGAAGCGGGAACGGGATTCCAAGGGTTGGGCAACGGCTCTCGGTTCTCCGTCCGCAGAGGCTCGGAGTTTGGGGTGTCCGAACTCCCAGTGAGCGCAGAGAAGGGATTGTTGCCAAACTAGAAAGAGAAGACAATGGCAGAGGACTCGTGCCTCCTCTCTTAGGGCTGCCTTCTCGCAGGTCTGATGGGAGAGCAGCAGGTCAAGGATCGATCAGAAAGTTTTCTCTTTAGAGAAATCTACAAATCTGTGGGATCTGGCTAATCTGTTTGCAATCGGATCCTGTAAAGCAGAAGCAGAATCCATTTCCTGAGCAGGTTTGCAGATGAACTAACATCAGGTAAAACTGACCTTGGCCCTCTCCTGGATCACGAGAGCCACCACCGAGGAAAGCATCTGAGCTCGGCTACTCGTGCATTTGCAATTCTGAAGGCCATTCTAGGCTACAACAAACTGGGCCTTCATTACAACCCATATTTGAGCCAACAGGCCCAGGATTTCCACTCACCTGAGTTCTTAAGGATACACAAATATATGATCCTCCCCAAGGAACAACTGTGTGCAACTTTAAAAGACGCCCAAGCTGTGAGTCCCTGCTGGTCATGATTAAGACTCTGCTGTTCTAATTAGCAGTTGAAAACAGCACTCCGCAAAGCACAGCCATGCCCACCTGTTCCCTGGCAGCGCTGAACATCGGTTCCTGGATATCCGTGTACATGCGCCGCAAGGCACTGTACCCTCCGGGAACACTCTCCAAGTTGCTCAGGGCTCGGTCCTGGTTGCGCATCATCTCTTGCATCATGGCCGGGTTGCGTGCCAACTCCATGGTCTGAGGAGAGAGACAGAGGATCTGAGCCAACCAGGAGGCAGCCACCTTGCTTGGCGTTGCCTTTTTTGTGGCGTGAGGCACAACGGACAGCCAACACTGCCGAAGTAGAGTCACCTTGTGGGGGGGAGGTGGGTGGCATAAATATTACATTATTTAATGAATTAAATACAGCCTTCACTTCTTTCCTAAGAGTCTGCAAGAAGCAAGGATTCACCATCATTGGTCTGGAGTTGGGGGCAGAGCAACTGAAAAATGAGCAAGCAAGGCAGAGCCAAACTCAGAAATTAGGGTCCAAGCAGACAGGATAGGTACAAGATCCTGTTTGGAAAAGCAATTGCACCTGTTGCTCTGCTTCTGGAAAGAGGCTGGACAGAAAGATGGCTGGTCAGGGTCTTAAACCACGATTTATTCACCCCTTAGCCCAACGCTAGCCCAACGTTTTCCCCACCGAGGGAGGAGAATGTGGAGGAAGCAGGGAAGATGGACCAAGAAAGAAGAACAATCAACCTGGCTGAAGCCCACAGGGGAGAACTCCTCCTCCACCCAGCCTGATCCATTCATCACATCCCCCAAAGCGCAGACGCCCACCCAGACACAGGAGGGTGAGGCCGCGAAAGGCTTCCACACAAAAGCTCTGCCCCGAGACGCAAAGCATTCCACACCACCTATTTCTCCAACCGCCTGACTGACTAAGTCCACCTGGCAGGAGTCATCCAAGAGACAGACAAAACCATCACAGCCACTCTGAGCCAGCGCCCAGTCTGCCCCACATCACACGGCACTTCAGCCAGCCAATCGAATCTCACTTGCTTCTCAGGAGCTTCCAACGAGCTTCTCAAGGGCTCCCAGCCCAGAGGTGGGACTCAGCACCACCCAGACTTTCCTAGGGGGTGAAATTCCCCACTGCTGAGGGCAGCCTTGCATCAGGGCCGATCTGAATCGCCAGGGCGTCTGCAGCACGGGCCTTCCAACCCTGCGGGCTGCCAAAGGGTGAGCTTGAGGGCCTGCTGCCCCTCCCCTCTCCTCCCCAGCAAGGCATTGTGTGACTGACGGATCGGCACAAGCTCCTTTTCGCTGTGCAAGCCCTGCTGAAAATGTCCCCTCCTTCCTCTCTGCTTCAGGTAGCCCCCAAAGATGCTTCCCCTGTCAGGAGAAGGCAGGGAGCAGAGATCATGTGACCACCCGCGAGCCACAAACCAATCAACAGCGCAGAGAAGCTCCCGTGTTGGTTGGGAACCGCCAACTGCTGTAGCTGAGGGACGCTTACGGGCCGTGCTCCTCACACCTGCAAAGGCAGCCAATCCCACAAGTCCAAGGAGAAGGGAGAAGGTGCCCACCTGGCGCATCAGCTCGGGGTTGTTCAGCATGTGGGTGATCTCTGGGTTCCGTTCCATCAGCTGCTGCATCTGGGGGTTGGCCGTGATCGTCCGCCTCATGAAGTCTGGGTTGGACATCATGCTCTGGACCAAGGGGTTCTCCATGATCTGGGACAGCATCTCCGGATTGGACATCAGCTGCCGCTGCATCTGCTGCTGGAGCTCCATGAAGTTTGCCGAGCCCATCCCCAGGTGGCCAAGCCCGGCAATGCCCCCAAAGCCGGCTGGGAAAGGGCAAGGAGGAAAGGAACAGCAGCTCAGACAACGACCTCCAAGGAAGGAAGCAGGTGTCAGCTCTGCCATCTTCAGTTTGGCGCCTTGCCGGCATCCTGCCGTCAAAGGCTAGGAGGGAGGGGGCAAGGGGGGACAAATAGGCAATAAACAAGCAAGGGGGTTTATGTGATGGGAAATAGGGAGGGGGGAATGACAGGCTGACAAAGACCAGAGAGGCACGGAACCAGTTTGTGCCAGCACTCAAGGCCAGCCCCCCCCCCCCCGAGAGTGGAATGGGGGAATCTTCGCTCTAGCCTGACTTTGCTGCAGACATCAACTTTTAGTAAAAGAACCCATCACTTCACCCAAATGGAGTCGAGGGTCTTTCTTTCCTAAGGGATCTGACAGGGGCAGGTCTGACAGCAGGCTTGGGGCTGACTACCCAGATCTGGTCTGGAACAGAGCTTAAGGAGAAGCAGGCAAACCAACTCCTGAACATCTGGCCGTCTATCCATCACTCCTGTCTATAGGTACTTGAAAGCCGGTCCCTCATCATTTTTTTTGCCGCCTCTGGATGGATGACCCCGGCGTAGGCCTGTGAGACACTGGCAACTCAGACCCCGCAAGAAGTAGTGTCTGCCCCCGAGCTGCTTTCTAAGAGCTCTGCCAGTGAAGAGATCTCTTACTTACACAGGATGGAGGTGGCACCGCTGGGCATTCCTTCCCCTGCTGACCCCGGCGTGCCTCCCAAAGCGCTGCTCCTCCAGTTGCTGTTTCCCACATCTGAAAGGCTGCTGCTGGAGGTGGATGGCTGGGAGGGGGCCGCAGGTGAAGCAGGAGCTGCGGAAGGGGCCAGAACTACCCCCGTGGCAGGCAGAGCAGTGGCGGAGGGGACCGGAGGGGAAGCCACTGTCACCCCGGGAGGTTCTTGCACCCTACAAATCAAGCAAGACAGGAAAATCATCATTGGGGAGGCAACCACTGGCTGAAGGAGAAGAGGTCCCAAACGGGGGCGGGATGAGGAGTCCGTTCAAGGGGGGGGGGAAGTGTCAAACTCAGGTTTGTGAGAAATCCTTGGTGCTTTTCTGAACTTGGTTGTTTTCTTGCAGACATTTCATTACCCTAACATCATCTTAGCTTTGTATTTATCATTTCCCAGGGGAAAACAGGCGATCTGGTGGAGCCACAGACGGAAAATAATCACGGAGAGAAGGAACCTAAAAAACTAAGGAGNGGGGGGGGGTCGGGGTCAGGCAGGCCGCAGCGACGCCCCCCCCCTCGCCCGCCCCTCCCCCCGCAGCCCCGCCCGGCCGGCCGGACCTCCCTGACGGAGACGCGCTCGCCGGTCACGATCTCCTCCTTGTCCTTCGGCGTCTTCACCGTCACGCGGATCAGGGCGCCCGTCGGGGCTGCCGTCGCCGCGGGCTCGCCGTCGCCCCCGCCTTGGCCCCCGCCCTGGCCCGGCTGCGAGGAGGACGAGGCGCCGCCGCCGACGCCACCGCCGCTCAGCTCCGCCATCTTGGCCGAGGAGGAGCGCAGAGCGGTGCCGGCGGGGCACTTCCGGCGGTCTGGGCGCCGTTCCGGAACTCTCGGAGGGCCGCCGGCGGAGTTCATAGTTCGCGGGCGAGGTTCTTCCGGGAAGCCGGCGCGCCGCCCGTCCCAAAAGCCCGTCCGCGGGAAGCTCGGAAGGCCGCGACCGAAGAACGGCCTCCGGCCTCCTAGCGCGCCAGGGCCCGGGGTCGCCCGAGGGACGGGCAGCGCAGCGAGACGAGCTCCCGGAGCCGAAAGGCGGGAGTATCCGGAACAGGAAGAGCCGGAGACTACAACTCCCAGCGGGCAGCGCGGGAGCGGGCCCGGTCAGCTGAGAAAGCCGGGCGCCGGAGTGTTCCCCGTCTCCCCTCCTGAGCGCGGAGCGGGGGCCATGCTGCGCCCCAAGGCCCTGACGCAGGTGCTGAGCCAGGCCAACACGGGAGGCGTCCAGAGCACCCTGTGAGTGAGTCCCGGCCGGCTCTCCCGCATCTGCCCTGCCCGGATCGGCCTTTCTGCCTCCCGCGGTGCTTCCTGGAGCCCCGCGGAGACGCCCCTTTGCCGCGGGGCGGTTGGGGGGGGGGCGGCGGCGGATCAAAGGGGTTTGCGCTGCACGTGTGTACGAGGAGGGCCCGCGTGGAGGGAGGGCTGGTGCAGCCGAGGAGCGGCAGGCTGGGCCCCAGACTGACGGAGAAAGGGGCGGCTGCGAGTCGGAATTATTCTGAATTTTATATCCTTCAGAGTTTTTATAAATGCCGCACAGGCAGCCCTCGACTTACCACCACAGTGGAGCCCAACGTTTCCTTTGCTAAGTGAGACATTTGTTAAGTGAGTTTTGACCCATTTTACGTTCTTGCCCCAATTGTTGAGTGAGTGACTGCGGTTGTTAAGTAAACCTACCTTCTGCATTGAGTTTGCTTGACAGAAGGTCGCCAAAAGTGATCAAACAGCAACCGTCATAAATACGAGCCGGTTGCCAAGCGGCTGAATTTTGATCACGTGACCCTGGGGAGGCTGCAATGGTCGTAAATGTGAAAAAAGGTCGTAAGTCACTTTTTTTGGTGCTGTTGTAACTTTGAACGGTCACTAAATGAGTTGTTGTAAGTCGAGGACTACCTGTAATTCTGGAAGAGATTTCATAATTGGCATTTTTTCCTCTGGATCGGTGTTTCTCAATCTCGACAACTTTTAAGATGTGTGGACTTCCGCTCCCAGAATCCCCACTGAAGTGTAGCACTCTTGCACTGCATTCTGGGTTAAAGCTATACAGTACTGCGTGGCATTTCTCTAGCAAACTGTACATTGCCTAATCTGTTTGTTTTGCCATTCTTTTCTCCTCCTCCAGGCTCTTGAACAATGAGGGTTCTCTTCTCGCTTATTCCGGCTACGGAGACACGGATGCCAGAGTCACAGCTGCCATAGCCAGCAATATATGGGTGGCCTACGACAAGAATGGGCACCAAGCATTCAATGAGGACAACTTAAAGTTCATCCTGATGGACTGCATGGTAGGCGCCCTACGATTTGATTTTCTCTCTGGCTGTTCTTCTCAGAAGCCTCTGCAACAGGGCTGAGCAACTATGGCCCCTTAACGACCTGTGAACTTCCACTCCCAGAATTCTGGGAATGGAAGTCCACAGGTCATCAAGGGGCTCTAGTTGCCCAACCCTGCTCTGGAAGGCTGGAGGGTGATCAGGGCTGTTTCAGTCCTGTACCCAGAGCTGAAATGCAACTGGAAGGGTTCCAGTAATCTGCTTCCTGCAGAGTTTTGTCAAGTAGCAGCGTGACCACTTTCTCAACAACCTTCCTTATAAAAGAAACACTGGAGACAGGGTGAAAGTTGTCCCAGGTTGCTCCGGGCTAAAGCGGAGGGGTGCTCAGGGGTGACCCCTTTTGAGGGCTAAGCCAAGAGATCTCCAGTTTGGAATTGCTTCTCCTAGCTCCCTTTCTTTCTCAAAATCCAGGAGGGCCGCGTGGCAATCACCAGAGTTTCTAACCTGCTGTTGTGCATGTATGCGAAGGAGACGGTGGGCTTTGGCATGTTGAAAGCAAAGGTAAGAGGGAAGAAAAATAGAAAAGACAGGGGGAAATATAAAGAAATGGATTCTGATATTCTTCACTGCAATTATAAGTAAAAATAAAGTTATATTTCTCTTTCTATAGTTTATCTAACCATCAAAATTGTAGATCCTTTGTAAGGGGCCTATTCCTGCATGTGGAATTGGGCTTCAAAGAGTCTTTGGAATAATATTTTCAGTAATATTCCACGGCATGCTTACACATGGTTATTTTAAGTGCTCGATTATGGAATTAATCCTGTTTCCTGGATTCTCACGATACACTTGTCAAAAATCAGGCTGCACCACCATGGCCCACATCATATTATTAGACTAAAACGCAGTTAGCCATTCCATGTTTTAAAATTGGGTAAATCCCTCCAGGAAACTTTAGAATAGGTGTTCTCTCTTTCTTCCTAGCAGCAGGAGAGCCTCTTACAAGGCTGCAGCAGAGACCTGCAGCCGAGTTGAAGCCGGGCTTGGCTTGCAGGGCTCTCTTGACAGGCCAGCATTTTCCCTTCTCTCTGCAGGCTCAAGCCTTGGTGCAGTACCTCGAAGACCCCCTGGCCCAGGTGGCTGCTTCCTGATGGGACCTGGTCGGCTTCTCAGTCTGGCGAGTCCTGCCTCCCAGCAGACCTTGAAGGGCGCTGAGCACTGACCGGGTGCTTCTTTCAGACACGAGGGGGACCCGGGGAAGGGAATAAAGGATGTTCTTAGCA